GCAGGGGGCGCGTGGTTTTCCCATCTCATCCCTGGAGGAGGGGCTGGAGCATCCCGGGCAGCCAATCAGAGACAGGCTGGGGGGGCGCTTTGAAGAAGTTTGGGGAAAAAAGTTTGGAAAAGTTTCTATAATAACGAGGGGGCGTCCGGAGGGAGGCAGCAGCGGCGGAGGAGGGGGCGTCTCAGAGAAGGGAGGGCGGGAGCCACGGGTCAAGATACTGCAGCCTCCTGAGATTCCCCCCTCCCACCCAGACCGGGACCTGGGGGCTCTGGCCGGATCCATGGGGGCAGCAAGCTGCGAGGATGAGGAGCTGGAATTTAAGCTGGTGTTCGGGGAGGAAAAGGAGGCCCCCCCGCTGGGCGCGGGGGGGTCGGGGGAAGGTCAGTGCGGGGCTAGGGAGGGGTCTTGGGGTCCGTGAGGGAAGGGCGCAGGGATCCTGAGTCTGGGGACTTTCGGGCAGAGAGCCTGGGGTGAGAGATGAGGGGCTCAGAGGTTGAGGGGAGGTGCGGGGCTCGGGGGTCTGCGGAGGTGAGGCTGGAGACCCGGCACCACTTTCTCCTTTTTAGGTCGTGACTGGGGTGGGGGTGGGGGGGGTGCCGTTGGCTGCGCGCCGCCTCTCGGCTGGGCTGTCACTGGGATGCGGGGCGGGCGGGAACAGCGGTCCCGAGAGCCCCGGGCGCTGCCAGGGAAAGGGGAGATTGGGCTCCGGAGCTTGCCCCTTGGGGACCGAGCCCTGGGCCCGCAGACGGGACGCCAGGGGCTGGGGGCGCTCTCAGGCCCAGCCGGGGCGCCCCTCCCCCTCCCCCGTCTGGCCGCAATGAGAGGCAGATGGCGGGGATTGAGCCGGGGGCGGCGGCCGCCGCTCGCACGGAATCCGCGCAGCCCGCGCCACCCCCTCCCTCGCCCGGCCGGCGCGCGGCACCCCTCCGCTGCACCCCCACCCCCAGATTGGGGGGAGTGAGGGAGGAGCCACCTTCCCTTGTCATCACAGCCCTGGAGCCCCCCTTCCCCTGGCCACCGTTGCGATGGCAACTGGGGCTCCTGCCAGCGCCGTTTGGGGGTTTGGGAACCGCTGCTAATTGGGTTCATGTGTGAGTCGCCCCCAGCTCAGCCCAATGCTTACTTAAACACGCCTCCAGGCCCAGCTCCAGCCCCTCTCGACCCGCCTCCCTTACCTTGAGACCCGCCCCGTCTGGTACCCCAGGTCCCAGGGCCAGGAGCTCAGAGTGTGATGTTCTCTGCGTAGGAAAAGACCTGACACGTCTGGCTCCATCCGTCTCCTCCACCTTCCCAAGGCCAACTTTGCTTTTGTCTTTGTGGCTCTGAAGGGCATCTCAGAGACCTCTCTTTACTGAGGAGGGGGCAGCATACCAGACTTGGGAGGCTGCCCGCTCAAGGAACCTAGACCTCTCACCTGCTTCTCTCTCTCTCCCCATCTCCTGTGACGTCCCTCTCTCTGTCTCCTTCCCTTCCCATTCTGACAGAACTGGACTCAGAGGACACCCCACCATGCTGCCGTCTGGGCCTGGGGGAGCCTCCTCCCTATGGTGCTGCCCCTATTGGCATTCCCCGGCCCCCACCCCCTCGGCCTGGCATGCACTCCCCACCACCCCGCCCGGCCCCCTCACCTGGCACTTGGGAGAGCCAGCCAGCCCGGTCAGTGAGGCTGGGGGGGCCGGGAGGGGGCTCCGGGGGGGCTGGGGGAGGCCGTGTTCTTGAGTGTCCCAGCATCCGCATCACCTCTATCTCTCCCACTCCCGACCCGCCAGCTGCGCTGGAGGACAACCCAGATGCCTGGGGGGAAGGATCCCCCAGGGATTACCCCCCACCAGAAGGCTTTGGAGGCTACCGAGAGGCAGGGGCCCAGGGCGGGGGTCCCTTCTTCAGCCCGAGCCCTGGCAGCAGCAGCCTGTCTTCCTGGAGCTTCTTCTCAGATGCCTCTGACGAGGCAGCCTTGTATGCAGCCTGTGACGAGGTGGAGTCTGAGCTAAATGAGGCGGCCTCCCGCTTTGGCCTGGGCTCCCCACTGCCCTCACCCCGGGCCTCCCCTCGGCCGTGGACCCCCGATGACCCCTGGAGCCTGTATGGTCCGAGCCCTGGAGGCCGGGGTCCAGAGGATAGCTGGCTACTCCTCAGCGCTCCTGGGCCCACCCCAGCTTCCCCACGACCTGCCTCTCCATGTGGCAAGCGGCGCTATTCCAGCTCAGGAACCCCATCTTCGGCCTCCCCAGCTCTGTCCCGCCGAGGCAGCCTAGGGGAGGAGGGGCCTGAGCCACCTCCAGCACCCCCATTGCCTCTGGTCCGGGACCCGGGCTCCCCTGGCCCCTTTGACTACACGGGGGCACCACCAGCCGAGAGCATCCCCCAGAAGACCCGGAGGACTTCCAGCGAGCAGGCGGTGGCCCTGCCTCGGTCTGAGGAGCCTGCCCCGTGCAATGGGAAGCTGCCTTCGGGAGTAGAGGAGGCTGGGGCTCCTCCCGGGGGTCCTCGGAAGGAGGTGGCCGGCATGGACTACCTGGCGGTGCCTTCCCCACTGGCTTGGTCCAAGGCCCGGACTGGGGGACACAGCCCCATCTTCAGGTGAGGGTTGTGTCTGACACCACTGCTGTCTCCAGTCATCTCACCCAGGGAGCAGGAGGGCCAAGGGATGGGTTTGAAGAAAGGTCCTAGTTCTGTGTCCTTGGCATTTCGAAAGAGAATCTGCTACCAGCTTGGCTGCTGGTAAACTACTCAGTTTTAGGGAGAATTTAAAAAACGCACCCCCTTTGGACAGATGATTTGCAAAAGGACAGTCACTCCTTGTGGATCAATTAGAAAAAGCCCCTCCAGCCCCAGAAGGACCATGTGGGTAAAGGAGGAATTCCTCTAGGGTGTCCTCCACCCCCAGCTCGGTGCTGGAACATGGGCTGGATTTCAGCCCTACAATGGGCAGCAGGAAGTCTCCCTTCTCTAACTCAATTTCTAGGGCCTGACTTGTGGCTTAAAAGTATACCTGCTAAATTTGAATAAAGTAGCATGTATTTGCAAGTCAAAGAATTCATATTAAACCAAGCAGTTCTTGCTGTTCTTTTACACCTTCCACCCTCAAAGAACCTTGTCCATTTCAATAATCCTAAACCTTGGATGTCAGATCAAGCTGGCTCCATCCAGAAAAGTTTCCCTTAGTTGTTTCCAGACATTGCCGAGTATCACCTGGGGGCAATTACCGGTTGAGGCTCCCTGGCCTAGGGTATCTGGGCGCTCACTACAGGAAAGTTGCAGATCCGTAACCCCCAGGTCTCTGGAACCCACTTGTCCAGCCCCAGCTAGTGGAAAGGGCGCTGTCCCGGAACGGATGTGCTCAGTCCCAGCTCTGTCAGTTGCTGGCTTGCTTAGCCCTCTACGTTCTACCCTCAGTTTCTTTATTTGGGCTTAACAAATTAAGGGGTTAATTTCTGAGACCTTTTCTGGTCTGAAGTTGTGCTTCTTTTTTTGTTTGTTTGTTTTTTTAATGTGGGACCTTAGTTCCCCGACCAGGGATCACACCCATGACCCCTGCAGTGGAAGGGCAGAGTCCTAACCACTGGACCACCAGGGAAGTCCCTGAAGTTGTGCTTCTTTACTTGACTCTTCCTATCCAGGCTTGGGGGTTAAACTGGGCTTGGGGTTCCTCTGTATCCAGACCCTGTGTTCAGAGCTGGGAAGAAGGGACTCTCAGTCCTGGTGCCCATTTACATACCCTCATCTCAAGGGGCTCTGAGGGGTCTGTCCCCCATCTCCCCTGCTTCTGGACTTGTGGACTGTTTTACTTCGGCTGTAATTTTTCTTTCTCCCATACCCACCGCCGCTTCCTCCCTTACATCCTGGGGAGCTGAGACCCAGGGCTGCCCTGATTGGGGTGTGAGGCTGTGGGTGATCAGTGCTCTTCTCTCTGTCTCTGTCCAGGACCTCTGCCCTCCCCCCGCTGGACTGGCCTCTGCCCAGCCAGTATGAGCAGCTGGAGCTGAGGATCGAGGTGCAGCCCAGAGCCCACCACCGGGCCCACTATGAGACAGAGGGCAGCCGGGGAGCTGTCAAAGCTGCCCCTGGTGGTCACCCCATTGTCAAGGTAAGGGGCAGAAGCCAGGCCTGGTAGCCTCTCTCCTCTCCAGTCCCAGATCCCTGCAGATGGGCTCCAGCTGTGCAGACCCATGGCACTGCCCTTTCCCACACTCCCTCTCAGCAATGACCCTGCAGGCGGCCTGGGGGAGGGACTGGTGTTGGGGGAGGAAGGGTGCACTTCAAGGACCCGGATGTACTTTCTACTCCTCTGTCCCTCCACCCCCGCTCCACTCATCCCATGGGACACCAGCCTTATGTCTACTCTGGAAAATGGTGGCCTGCCAGATGTGGGGGAGGGGTCAGGCTGAGGCCAAAGTTCACTGGGAGTTAGGTTGTCTCTGTTGAGTTGGGCCAGTCTCCCTTGGAAGATTTTCCCCTTTGCCCAGCCCAGTTTGGGCCTCATTCCAAGAATAACACTGTGAACTCCAGGCCACGTTTTCGCCACAACTGGTGGAGAAACTAGTGCCCAATCCCCCCCTGGAAATCCCTTCCAGGATATCCTTTATCTTTCACTCCTCTCCAGGGGTGGACTGAAAACTTAGGGATGGATGAAGGATGAGACAGTGGGGATTTCAACTGGGTGGCCTTTGTCTCCCTCTGCCAGCTCCTAGGCTACAGTGAGAAGCCACTGACCCTACAGATGTTCATCGGCACCGCAGATGAGAGGAACCTGCGACCTCACGCTTTCTATCAGGTGCACCGTATCACAGGCAAGATGGTGGCCACGGCCAGCTACGAAGCTGTAGTCAGTGGCACCAAGGTGTTGGAGATGACCCTGCTTCCTGAGAACAACATGGCAGCCAAGTAGGTTCCCACTCCACTTCCCCTTATTCTGCGGGCTTGAGGACTAGCCTTTTCCATGGGGTCTAAGCTAGGTCTGCTCTTCCTCTCCCCAGAAGAGTTAGACATCATCCCTAGGAGGTGTCAGGCATTCTCACCATCTAGAAGAGGACTTTGGGGCTGGGGAGTACTCTGGAGAGGCCACCTCTGGGTTCAGATAGCCCCCCATAGTCTCCCAGAGAAGGTCATTTAGGGCTTTGGATGGAGGGTGATTCTGGCATCAGCTGGGAGGGCTTGCCTTCCATCCTTGGCTTCAGCATTGACTGTGCCGGAATCCTGAAGCTTCGGAATTCAGACATTGAGCTGCGGAAGGGTGAGACGGACATCGGGCGCAAGAACACACGCGTGCGGCTGGTATTCAGGGTACACGTGCCCCAAGGCAGCGGGAAGGTCATCTCGGTGCAGACAGCATCGGTGCCCATCGAGTGCTGTGAGCAAAGAAGCCCTGTAGCATCTCTCTGCCTCTGGCTAACTTCTTGTCTGTGTGTCTGTCTGCCCATCTCCTCTGCAGAATGTTCGGTGCCCTGCTGGTCCTGGGGACACCTGTAAAGGACCCAGCCCTTATTTCTATCATGGATGGGCTGGGGGAAGTGTTCTACTTTGCCCCTGCTGCAGATTGTGCCTCTGGGTTGGACCAGAGCAACCCTGTCCTCCATCTGCCCCTGGGTATCCCCCATGTATTTGTTTGCATAGCTCTTAGGCCTACCCTGTTCATCTCTGTCTTTCTGCCCAGGAGTGGTTCCTTACATGGTCTGTGTGACCCCAGGGAGACCATTGTTTTTCTTGTGTGTCTGCTTCTGAGAAGGGCTCCTCCAGGGCCCTGTGACAGTTATTCTAGGGAGGGTTGGGGCACAGGAGGCTGTCCTCTCCATACCAGCCAGCCAGGCCTTTCCTGCACTGCTCTGCAGCCCAGCGCTCAGCTCAGGAGCTGCCCCAGGTGGAGGCCTACAGCCCCAGTGCCTGCTCCGTGACGGGAGGGGAGGAGCTAGTGCTGACTGGCTCCAACTTCCTGCCAGACTCCAAGGTGGTGTTCATCGAGAGGGGCCCTGGTAAGTATCTATGGGGAGCGGGGGAGGGCAGGCAGGAAGAGCTTGGAACGGGAGGGTGAATGATTTCTGGCACTGTCTCTAAACTAGCAGGTTGAGCCTCAATTTCCTTATCTGTAAAATGGGGCAGATAGACTGCCCGTCCTGTTATACTGTCTCCTTCCCATGCGTACTCTAGGCATCTGAGACGCTCAGGATGGCAAATAAATGTAAGAAATACACATTCTTTTATTGAGGAGTCAGCTTTGAGCTAATTTACCCCCATGTGGCTGGGGAAGATGAGAAGGGAAGAGGTGACTTGTACCCCCACAGGTGGACGCTGAGCCCCTCCTGAGTTATGGGACTGGCAGCACAGCTGTGATTACAGGAGGCTGTGAGGTGCCCCAGAATAGAGCTGCCGGGGTGGAGAAGGGAAGACTGAGGGCCCCAGGTATACTCACCAACCTGAGGCCTCTGCTCTCCCCAACCCTGCCCACCCAAAGCCCCAGCCCTATCCTCAAGCTTAGCGCCCTAGGACCATAACAGAGCAGAGTCAGAGGTTCTGGGTCATGAGACTTGGGGTCTTGTAGCCTCCCTTCAAGCTGAGACTCTTTCCTACCCTTGAACTTCTTTCCAGCTCTGTCATGGGAGGGAATGTTTAGAGTTGCATGAGAGGGTTCCAGAGTTGTTTCTGGTCCCTGGACTGGCCCTGCCGTTTCTCTTGGCCTCAGCTTGTGGCTCTAGATCTTGGAGACTGTTTTAAACCCTGCCTGTCCTACTCAGTTGAGTAAACATGCAGCGGGCTCCTCTGTGAGCTAGGCCTTGTCAGGACCTTCTGAGTCTGGCCTTGGCTCCAGCAGGAGGGGAAATGGCAGAGGCCTGGGCACGGGGCAAGGGGTAGGGGCCGTGCGGCTGGGCTGGAGCTCCCTGTTCTTCCTGCACAGACGGAAAGCTGCAATGGGAGGAGGAGGCCACAGTGAACCGGTTGCAGAGCAATGAGGTACCGGTGTTACTAGGGTCCCCCCTGTGGGTGGGAGTGGGGTGGGAGAAGTCAGGAGATTCTCAGCCGGCACCCTTGAGCTTGGGAGTGGACTCCAGCAGCTACCTGTTCATTTCTAGAGGAGGCAACCTGGCCACTCTGGAAGCAGGGACACCTCTAGGGAATGAACTTTGCTCCTTTGTAAATGGAAAAAGCCAGGAGGTGGAGTTAGGGTACTTGGAAGGGCTGGGCTGAGCTTAGTTCCCTGAGGGCCCCCTGCCTCATCCTCTGCTCCTCCCCAGGTGACGCTGACCCTGACCATCCCCGAGTACAGCAACAAGCGGGTGTCCCGGCCAGTCCAGGTCTACTTTTACGTTTCCAACGGGCGGAGGAAGCGCAGTCCTACCCAGAGTTTCAAGTTCCTGCCTGGTGCGCTCCGGAACAGCCCATGGTGGGGGGATGCGGACGTGGGGACCGATGCAGGGGCACAGGGATGCAGTGCCCCATGGTGAGGGGTCAAGGGAGGGATGAGACCTAGGGATAGAAGAGACCTAGGGCTGGAGAGTGCGCGGCGGGGAGACTGCCAGCCCTCTCACCAGCGTGTCCTCCTTCCCATCTGTCCAGTGATCTTCAAGGAGGAGCCTCTACCGGACGCATCTCTCCGGGGCTTCCCTTCATCATCGGGGCCCCACTTCGGCTCTGACATGGACTTCTCACCACCCAGGCCCCCCTACCCCTCCTATCCCCATGAAGACCCTGCTTATGAAACTCCTTACCTGTCAGAAGGCTTCAGCTATGGCACGCCCCCTCTGTACCCCCAGACGGGGCCCCCGCCATCCTACAGACCTGGCCCGCGGATGTTCCCTGAGACTGGGGGTACCACAGGTTGCGCCCGCCCACCTCCAGTCTCATTCCTTCCCCGGCCCTTCCCTAGTGACCCCTATGGAGGACGGGGCTCCCCCTTTCCCCTGGGGCTGCCGTTCCCTCCTCCAGCCCCCTTCCGGCCTCCACTACCTTCATCCCCACCACTTGAAGGCCCCTTCACTCCCCAGAGCAGTGTTCACCCCCCACCTGCTGAGGGATACAGTGAGGTAGGGCCAAGCTATGGCCCTGGGGAGGGGGCTCCGGAGCAGGAGAAGTCCAGGGGTGGCTACGGCGGCAGCTTCCGAGACAGTGTCCCTATCCAGGGTATCACGCTGGAGGAAGGTGGGTGTGGGACCAGGGGCTGCGAGTGTGAGTGTGTGCAAGAGATTGCTCTGCATGTTTGCTGAGGGCTGGAGCTTGGCTTCCCAGAGGTTGGGGCTCCGTGGTCCCTCAGGGCCAGCTGGAGGGCCTAAGGAGGCCAGTGCTTGGTGCGTGTGGCCAGTTGAATCCAGTTGAATTCTGAAGGGGGCACGGAGTACCTGCCTAACCTTTCTGCTGCCTCGGCCCTTGGCCCCAGATCACTAAATCTCAGGGCTAGAAGTACTTGCAAGATCATTCAATCTAGCTCCCTCAATTTGCAGATCCAGGCAGTGAATTTCAGAGAGGGGCAGTGGCTTGCTGGTGTCCCCGCCAAGCACGTTTTCCCTTGCCTCAGCTTCCCCGTAAACCTGGTGACAGTGGTCTGGATTGGTGATGAGGGGCCTTCCTATTTCGCCTCTCTTTCCTCCCACTGGCTACACCCACCTCCGGCCCTGTTGACAGCGACTGCCCTGACGCTGCAGGCCAAGCCAGCAGGAAGGGGGCCTGAGAACCCACGTGGATGGAGTTCAGCAAGATTTGATTGAGAGCAGGGGTCAGGACACAGTGGGGAAACTGAGGCCCAGTGGTAGAGAAGCCAGTGCAGGAGGAGCCTGGAGGCATCCTAGACGGAGGCCTGCCTGGAATGGATTGGGGGTCTCTGGAAAAGGAGGCGACCTGCCCCTTGCCCAGTCTCTCAACTGCCCCTCCTTTACAGTGAGTGAGATCATTGGCCGAGACCTGAGTGGCTTCCCTGCACCTCCTGGAGAAGAGCCTCCCGCCTGAACCATCGCCTGGCCCCTGCTCCCCCCTGCCCTGCCCACTTTCCCTTCATCCTGGGATGGCGGTTCCAGAGGCTTGGGGGCCAATCTGGTTCCTCTTTCCCCAGTTTCTTGCCTGCTCTCCCCTGCCCTCCCTTCCCTCCCCTAGCTGAGGTGTGGCCCCCCCCCGGGGCCTGGTGCTGCCTTGGAGGGCTGGGGGCGGGGGAACATGGAGGCCTGGGATGGGGGTGGACCCTGGGGGGGCTACTGGGAGCGAGGACTGGAGGACTGCCCGGAGTGAAGGCCGTGTCTAGATTGTGTACAGACCACGGTGCTGGGAGGCTGGGGCCAGGTTGATGGGTAATAAACTGCTCGCTGACTAGTGTTTCAGGCTCCAAAACTCTTTGGAGAGAGAGATGGGGCAGCTCACTCTAGCCCTGGCCAGAGGAGGCTTAGAACCTGGAAAGGGATGGGATGTGGCTGGGAAGATTGCATCCCAAAGAGTATCAGTGCAAGGGGGTTGGGTGGGTTTGAAGGGTCGCAGAGGCTCCCTAAGTGGGGTGAGGTCAGGAGCCAGGGTTTGTAGACCTCTCCTCCCTGGGGATTCAGTTTCCTTTAGGAGCTTTGGGAAAATCTGTGTATTTTCCAGTTACTTTCTCTTGCTACCACCAAGATGATTCTGATTCATAGCCAAGGTCAGGAAACACCAGTCTAGTTCCTCTCCCTCATTTACAAAGGAGGACTCTGGCTCAGAGAGGGAAGGGGGCTTGCCGTATGTCACACAGCTAATCAATAGCAGGTTGAACGCTGCACTCCTGGGCTCCTGCCCCCAGCCCACCCTCAGATATCCTAACCCATGGAGGTCAGGCCCCTGAAGCTTCTCTCCCTGGAGCAGGGTAGGAGATGAGGGACGGCTGGCATGGGTCCATCCACACTCTGGATTCTCCAACCTTTGGGGTCTGTGAAGACATTCTGGAAAGATCTATGTTTCAGAGGTAGACTGCAGGAAGCCAAGAAGCTCCCCAGATGCCCTGACATTGCCTGAGCTCCGGCCTTTCCCATAGGTGTACCCACATATCACCACTGACAGGCCCGGCCTGGAAACCTGGTTTGCCCCATGTCTTGACAGCCTAGGGGGCCAAGTCCCCAGTGGGTTGGGGAGAGCCTGGCATACAGCAGGCACTGAGTACCACTGGCCCAGCTGCAGGGGGCCGTACCTCAAAGATATTCCGGGTGTTAGTACTCTGAGAGACTTGCCTCACCTCAAGGCTGGTATGTCCAGTGCGTCTAGACAGGCCTGGCAAGTGCCCATGTGTTCAGCTGTGGGTGTGACAGAAGCTGGCTCTAGAATGGAGGACAGGAAAACGAGGATGACCCCTGGTCTTGTCACTGCTGCTTTGCAATGAATTTCCTTTATCTTCCTGAACACAAACTGCTGCGAACTAGACTGATATCCGGTGATTGGCTCACTGGGCCATGGCTGCTTCTCAAAGGTACCCTCCAGCAGGACTAGAGTCATCACCCACAGCAGGAGGGACCCAGGGCACACGTGTCCTGGCCAGCACCCTTCAGCACCCCCTCCAAGATCTCTGACAGGCGGCGAGTCAGCCTCTGTGAATGAAAAGCTATAGTGATGGGGACTCGCTGCCTCCCACGGCAGACCGTTTCACTCTCTGCCATAGCACTGGCACTCATTCATTGCCAGGCATTTATTGAGCAGCTACTAAGTGCCAGCCAGTGCATCCTGGAGGACCTCATAGCCTCATGGGGTGACAGTAAGTAAACACACATTATAACTCAACAATTCAACTCAGTAAATGTTTCTTGTACAGATAGTATGTCAGGTCTTGGGCGGGGGGAATGAACAATTTTAATATGGGGAACAGAAGGAGAAGCGCACAGGGGCACTCCATCCAGCCGTGGGGGTCAGAGGGAACTTCAGGAGTGACTTCTAGCCTGGGATCTGAAGCATGACTGGGAACTGACTGGGCGGAGAGTAGGGGAAGGGCAGGCCAGGCAGAGCCACCAGATGGGCCATGTCTTGGAGGAGAGAGGCAAACAGGGAGGGCCAGCAGGTCGAGGGCTTGGCACGCTCATGGGACTGGTGAAGTTCTGGAAGTCGGGGGGGGGCTGTGAGTGGGGACCAGAGAGGGAAGCAGGGGCTGGGTTCTGAGGGGCCTTGTAGCCATGCTAGGAAGCTTAGTTATCCAAGGACAATGGGCGCTTTTCCCACTAGACCGTGGGGCTTAATCTGGGATTGATACAATAGAGTTGCCTCACAGGTCTTCCTGGGGTAGAGCTTCCATCTGCTTCCCTGTGACTCTGCTCTGCCAGCACATTGTTCTGCCCTGTGGGCGCATACTTCGCACGCCTAATCCCTCTTTCATTAGAATCCTGAGGTGGGTGGGCCAACTCCCAAGGTCATTGTCTCTTCCCAGGTTCCTACAGACATCCAGCTCCCTGAGGCTGGAGTTGGGAGAGGGAAGAGAAGGAGGCTGGATCTTCGGTCGGTGCCAGAAAAGACTTTCTTGGCCACGGTTTCTCAAAGTGTGGTCTGAAGATTACTTGCATTTGAGTCATTAGGGAGGTTTTTTGGTTTTATTTTATTTTATTGTTTGTTTTTGTTTTTAATACAGATTTCTAGGCAACACCTGACCTACTCAATTTGTATTCTCTGGGGGCAGGCCTAGGTTTCTGCATTTTAAATAGCACCCTAGATCAGGGGTCCCCAACCCCCAGGCGGTGGACAGCTACCAGTTCATGTCCTATTAGGAACCGGGCCACACAGCAGGAGGTGAGCAGTGGGCGGGCGGGCGAGCGAGCGAGCGAGCGAAGCTTCATCTGCCGCTCCCCATTGCTCCCGGTCACTTGCTCACTGCCTGAACCACCCGCCTCCACCCCCAGCCATAGAAAAATTGTCTTCCGTGAAACTGGTCCCTGGTGCCAAAAAGGTTGGGAACCGCTGCCTTAGGTGATTCTCCGGCACAGGAAAGTTTGAGAACTAGAGTCATTTGTCAATTAAGGGTCATTCCTTCCCACTCCAGACTCTAAAACAGCTCCCTGCCCCCTTCTCATAGATCTAGTCTGGGCTGCTCTAGGTGGAAGGTCACCTGCAAAAGTGTACTTAAGGGAGGGGAAAGGCACACACATTCCTGACATTGCAGCTCCCCTCTCCCCTCTCCTTGGCTCTGTCTTGCTCCATGGACAATCTGAGATGGTCTTGGGGGCAGCCTGGAGCTCTGGTGCAGCAGCAGCTGCCCCAGAACTTTTTTTTTTTTTAACATCTTTATTGGGGTATAATTGCTTTACAATGGTGTGTTCTTTTCTGCTTTATAACAAAGCGAATCAGTTATACATATACATATGTTCCTGCCCCAGAACTTTTGAGTCTCCTTCTCTGGCTGGATCTCTTACCTCTAGGACACCTGGGGAGGGCACACTGGGTAGCCTTCCAGGTGAATTTGGGCTCTGCCTGGAGCACTTCTGTGATGCCTTGGTGCACCCGCTGCCAGACTTTCTAAGTGTCGGGAAGAAGGCTGCAGAGGAGTGGCATCTCATGTACCTCCTGGAAACTCCAGATGTGGGAAGTGCGCAGGGGTTTGGTGCCTTTTTGGGAGCTGGTTTTAGTGGCCTCAGCATCTGGTTGCTTCCACAAAACATCCCAAGAAAAGAAAAGGGGAAAAAAAGGAGATGGGGAAGGAACCTCTAAACTATAAGAGACTTAAGGACATATCAACAGTTTGGCTATTCCTTATAACATTAAGCACAGACTTGCCATGTGATAACCACCAGCAATCTCTCCCCTACATATTGACCCCGGTGAATAAAAAATTATGTCCACACAAAAACCTGTTCCCAAATGTTTATAGCAGTTTTATTCATAATCAACCCAAACTGGAAACAACCAAGATGTTCTTCAGTAGGTGAACAGATTAACTGTAGCACATCCAAGCAGTGGAATACTACGTAGCAATAAAAATTAACGAAATATTGATTCATGCAACAATATAAATAAATATTAAATGCACTTTGTTAAGTGAAAGAAGCCAGACTCAAGTGGCTACATTTTGTGTGATTCTATTTACATGACATTCTGGAAGAGGCACAGTGGTAGAGACACAAAACAGATCAGTGGTTGCAGGGGGAATGCTTAGAGAACAAGGAGTAGTTGACTGCAAAGGGATAGCACGTGGGAATTTTCAGGGTGATGGAACTGATTTGTATGATCTCACGGTGGTGAATACATGACTCCGTGCCACTGTCAAAATCTGTAGAACTCTACACGGATGGAAATTAATTATATACAAATTTTTAAAGAGTCATTCAATCCTAGGATAGAATGCAAAGTGTAATATATGAATCTAAATGTATTAGGAATATATATGGAAAAGGTGGTGGTGGGTGGGAAGGAGCTAAAATCAGTAATTTGGGGAAACAATGTTTTGACTGGGTACTGTAAGGCTAAAGACAAAAGGAATCATACGTACAGATTATAGTTGGTAAAGTTGTTACAGGTTAATGATTCTGAAGCTACTTAACCTGTATACTAGCGTTGAACAGTAAGTAAATAAATTGTAGTGAGGTAGGTTTCTCGCTGTCAGAGAAAGCACGGGTTGGTTATCATGGTGTGGACTGGAAGGCTAGGAGAAACCCTGTGGTGCCGGATTCAGGTTGGAGATATCAGTATGAACTCATGCTCATTTTACATGTATCTATATCCATGTCTATATCTACATAATATTATATATAATATTATAGAATATATAATAGAGCTATATAAATATCTATATAGATAGATCTATAATCCATAGATATCTGTTTTATATAAGTATATATAAAATACATGCACATACACACAAATAGATACAGAGATAAATATAGATATGGTGTGTACAGGGGTTAATATACATACATATATTTGCTAGCTTTGTCTGCTAAGAGAGCCTAAAAGGAGTGGCACCCCATTATCAATGAAGACACCTAGCATCCAGATGTTGGCTTCTAAAAACCATTCGCCAATAGAAAGAACCAGGGTTCCTTGGAAAAATGGCTAATTCTAGAGCTGGGGCAGGGAAAAGACAAGGGAATCCTGGAGCAACTTGCATTACCAGAAAGTAAGTGCAAAAAAAAAAAGGGGAGTGCATATCAAAAAGCCACAAGAGGCAACTCAAAAGATGTTCCAATGGCCAGAGCTGAAACAATATGAGCAAGTGTAATAAATAATGATAATATTAGATTGTAATTCAAAGAATAAAATAAATCTCTGTTAAGTCCACACTGCTACAAATAAATGATTGAATAAATAACTAACTGGGGGAGAGGGACAAATCTTTACAGAAGAATTCCTGTTAATAAATGTAGAAGGAATGAGGGAACTAGAAAATC